AACGACTGAGCCACCCAGGCGCTCCCCCCCCCCTTTTTTTTTAAGATTTTATTTATTTGAGAGAGAGAGGGAGGTCATGCATGAGCAGAGGGAGAAGCAGACTCCCCACTGAGCTGGGAGCCAGACTTGGCACTTGATCCTAAGACCCTGGGATCATGACCTGAGAAGGCAGACACTTAACCAACTGAGCCAGTCCGGTGCTCCAGCAACATGCTTATCTTTTTACTGCTTCCAAAAAATAATTTTCTTTTATTTTCCGAAAAAGAAACAGCCTTATCCTTTTTCTCTCCCCAAAATACAATGTACCAGGCTTGATTCTCCCCCGAAAGCCTGCTGGCAGGACAGCGTGGGTCCCGCCTGTGCAGAAGAGCCTCTCTAAAAGAAGTACAAGTGAGGAGAGAACATCTGGGTCAACCCTCAGGAGTGGGGGATGCAGGGTGTTCTTACGTGCTTTGAAAAATAAATAGTTGAATCCTAAACAGGATTTCTGAAAAGGAGAATCCAGCTTGAGATGGACCTTAATGTCTAAATTAAGAGGAAGCAAGGCTAAATTACCTGAAATATTGACTGTCGAAGATCTCCTAAAGTTTTTCTTTTATCAAAGGTTAAATCCCACACGCTTTCTGCTTGAGAGACGATTGGGTGCAGAGCCCCATTGAAGAAATGATAATGAGGGCCCAGGTGGAGATGCAACTCAAAATTATTGTTTGTAGAATCCCATTCTGCCCTTTAAAGAGGCATAAAAAATACATAAATGCTCTGTTTTTGTAACACACGGTTTCATCCCAAACCAAAAATACTTGATTTACAATATAAATAAATTCTCTATCCTACCTAAGTAATTATTAATGTCCTTTTCTTCCATGCTCCAAAATTTTCATTTTAGTTTCTCAATGAATAGCTAAATTTCAGCTCTGCCACCACAAATTCCAAGGAAAATCAATTTTTAATATACACCATGCAACATTTCTCTAAGTATCGAAACTCAAAATCTTCCAACAATGGGAATGTAGTTATAAATATGCTAGAAACCGTTCCTCCTATAATTGTAAGTGCCAGATTCATGAACTTCTAGTTCCTCCTTACCTCCACCAGAGCCCCTCAACTCTCCTGTAGAATATTTAAAGTGGGTCTCACGATCCTCCAGTCTACTCTCCCCAGCTTGAACATCCTCAGCAGCGGCCCAGAGCTGGCAGCTGGTCTCTGAATCCGTTCGGCTGTCCTGGAGCCGCTGCCCGACATTCCGCTCGAGGCAGTGTGGCCCCAGGAGAGCTGGATGAGGCCATGGCCACTGTTCGGATACTCCCGACACAATTCTATTCATGTGGTCAGAGACAGCACTAGCTTTTCTGATGGCCGCATTAAAAAGCTTAGTGCTGGCTGGCGAAACCCCTTTGGTTGTGGCTGTGAACACTCACTGCTAGTCTGCGCCCGCTTATGCAGTTTTGCCTGTTTAAGATATTTTATCCTAGTTTTTATATTTTTAGTGTCTTGATTTCCTTTGATAGTGGTTTGCCATTCAATCTACCTGCTCCTTTTCTCCCCCAGTTTTAAGCCAATGATAAAAATGTTGAACACATCCTGGCTACATAATCAACCAGCCACGTAGGTCCACAAGGAGGCCATGAGAACATCCACTTCCCTAACCCAATGCCCCACTGACCCTGGCAGAGAGCAAATAAAGATACAGTTCCTCAGGGTCCAAGGTGAGACCTCAAAAGAGAAGATGAGATCAGCAAGTCCTCACAAACCATGCCTGTGATAACCTATTACAGGTTTCTGCCCGGACTGACACAAAGCCTGGCAGTTTGCAGCATCCACATTCTTTCCTCTTGCCCGCCTCTGGTCTTCTATCACTATGGGCCAGGTCCCCACAACTACTTAACTTATGAGGGGTGACTTTCACCCAGGCTCCCTCTGCACCTCGGGAATCACCTGACGGGCCAGGATACGATTCACTTAATGTCCTAGGTGTTCACTGATTTCTCCAGGCTTCTGAGGCTTCATCCCTACTCAGCAGTGGCCATTTATGCGACATTGTTTCGCTCACTCTCACAGATAATGATGATTTCAAAGTAAGATACTCTGCCTACAAAAATTCAGCAGCTACACAGACACGGGCATTGATAAGTTGTTTTTCCTTTTTAATTTTCCTGACTGAAGACTGAAGACCTAAATGAGATCCTCGTTCTCCGGAAAAAAACCATTCAAACTCTAAAAGTAAGTTAAAATTACCTTTTTGTTTGCAGTTCAATGTTGGCTGCGTCCATTTCATTCAGCAAATGACATGGAACCCCATATCTCGGATTAGCTCGAGCTGTGAACAGAACGCTTCATTAACTTGGGCTGGCGAAATGGAATCTGGCTGCTGGGAATCTGGAAAGTATGTGCTGGGAGCTAGGAAGCCTCTGCTAACTATCTTTGTGAATGCTAACTTCCTGTGGATCCCAGTTTTCCCATCTGAAAAATGAAAACATTAGAACAAATGGAAGATAAACAGTTCCTTATGCCACGCTAGAAGAATTCCATTTCTTCAATTCTCTTTAAATATACTCTTTAAAAAGAACACCCACTATTTTCTCCCTGATAACAAATATAGTAATTGCCACCATAAAAATTCTAGAATATAAAAGATATTTTTATAGCTATTACCTATAATCCCGTTCCCAAGAGATACTGGTAAAATTTGTTATAGGTACTTCTGGTCTTTCTTCTATACCTACACAATGTGTCTGTGTGTGCACACGTACCCACACACATGCGTGCGCATGCACACACGCACACCCGTGCACACACTTATTTAAAGCGACTGGGATTGTATTTAATAAATCTGTAATGTGCTTTTTCACTTCATATTTGTATTTCTCCAAAGTTTTAAATGATTGCATAGTAGTTCATTCTATAAATAGCATAATTAATCTAACCAATCTTTTTCTGGTAGGTATTTAGGTGATTTCTAGTCATTATTATAAAATAATGGGAGTAACGAACATCTTTGAACATGAGTCTTTACACACAGCTCTGATTATTTCAAGACAGATTTGCAGAAGTAGAATTACTGGTTTAAGGTTTTTAAATACATATAACCAAACTAGTTATAGGACTTTATATACCTACAAGCTGTAGAGGAAGTGCCAACTGTCAAGAACAAGATTAACAAAAACATTTAACTTGGTAGGAAAAAAGTGGCATATCTCATTGCTGTTTCAATTACTATTTTTTGATTATGATTTAGGTGTTTTTTTGTTTTTTTTTTTGAGAAAGAGAGAGAGAGAGCACAAACAGGGGGAGGGGGCAGAGAAGGAGGGACAGCAGACTCCCCACCGAGCAGGGCACCTGCCTCAGGGCTTCATCCCAGAACCCCGGGATCATGACCTAAGCCAAATGCGTACACTTACTCAGACTGAGCCACCCAGGCGCCCGATTCTTTTTTTTTTTCCAGTTTATTGGTTGTTCCTATTTCTTCTTTTGTACATTGCTTATTTATATCCTTTTCCCAATTTTCTACTAAGCACAATGGAATATCTGTAAAAGCACTCTGCAGATGGGAAATAAACTTGTCATATATTTAGCTGTTTCCCACTAGGCTTGTCATTTGCCTTTTATATTGTTTAAGGTTTGTAACACTTTTCCTTAATTTTTCTTTCTTTGCTTTTAAGCCCAGAAAAGTCTTCTCTACCTTTTTATCAGAAATATATATTTTATACATTTTAAGGTTCCTTTTTAACATAAACATTAAAGGAACTCAAATTTCATTCAAGTGATGATTACAGTCACTTGACTACACTGACTGCTAATTCAAGTGACTGGCTGCTAACCAACTTCCCCGCTCTATTTCTTGAGTAATTCACTCTCCTCCCGTTTATCTGAAAAATCACCTTACCTAGGATTAAAATCTTTTCTTTTTTGTTTTTTAAAGATTTTATTTATTTATTTGACACACAGAGAGACAGCTAGAGAGGGAACACAAGCAGGGGGAGTGGAAGAGGGAGAAGCAGGCTTCCCACTGAGCAGGGAGCCCGATGTGGGGCTCGATCCCAGGACCCTGGGATCATGACCTGAGCCGAAGGCAGACGCTT